ATGTTTTTTAATTAAACTGTTATTTAAAAAAGTTATCTATGTTGATCTTTATATTGTAATTGTGGGGAAGTAGGAAATAATGTAATAATGTCAACAGTACATTGTTGACAATACAATAAATACTCCAGCCTGGTGGGGTGCAAGTTGGTTTGCTTAAATATGCTTCCTATTAATATCCTTAAAAGTAGAGGTATTTTGTTTTTAGATAGCAGTAATAGCTGGGCCAACCTCCTTATTAGTAATTTGTCACTCAGAATCTGGAGGGATTCATGGAGTGGTAGCATCTCTCTGTGGTAGCTTCATTGAGGACACTTGTAAGCTTTGAGAAGTGTCAGGGTGACCACGGAATTGAAAGCTGAAGATCCTAGGCTTGTTTGGGCTAAATTAAAATAATTACTTGAGGTTCAAAGTGTTTTGCTTTGCTGGTACAAAATGTGCACTATCAGAGGGCTCTTCTGTTGTTCAAAAGTAATGTAAAGTTGAAAAAGCACAAGGTAAATGCATCTCTCCCTTAGCACGATCTTTTTCAAAAGAGGTGAGTTGTTAGACCAGGAAATGATTATTCGAAATAAAATGTATTTATGAAATAAAACGTATTTATGAAAAGGGAACTTTCAGAAGTGGGAAAGGCAGGGGAAACATTTTTGACTTTGCTCTACAAGTCTTGTTGTGCTCTTTTTACTCGTCAGCCTTTTCTTCTTGCCTCCCGCAATCTCTTCTTGCACAAGTCATTAGTAGGTAGCATCAAGGTGACCACTCCCATGAAAGAGCCAGAACTACAAAAATTGATACAGCAACCAGCAATTATTTTGAAATGGCCCATTCCCAATTACTAAAATTAGGTGTTGATAATAGCTGTTGCGGTTCTGAAGTGCTGCAACCAAAAGCTACCTTTTCATAAAGTGCTTTCTGCTGGAACTTAAAACTAGACCAAGTGTTCACAGAATGTCTTCGGTGTGTAGACTGTGGAGAATGCTACGTGGGTTTAGTTGTCGATGGCTATTTTTACGCTTACCCCATGACTTCTGTATGTGAGTTTAAAATAGTATTTCTGAGAATGTTTGGCCCCACACAGGTTGTGGCTGACCAGTCTAAGTAGCAATGCATCTGTGATCTGGAAATTGTATTTTGGTAACATGGGTGAATGCTGTTGTAACAATGCTAGCATTTGCAAACTTAAAATCTGCCTCTGTCACCCTATGAGCCACTGAATTTTTGGCATGTTTTAAAATTGCTTATGAACTAGCTTTTTTCTACGTTTCTTTCTTCCCTATCCTTTTTTTTTTTTTTTCCTTCTATTCAGAATCTCTAGGATTTATTTGCAGCTAGTATATGCTTAAATAAGGAGTTATAGAAATGCTTCAGATGATACTTGCTACAGAGAAGGCAGTAATGTACTGGTTGTTGTTTTTTTAATGCAAGTTCTCCTTGACAGGCAGAGGTACTTGTAATAGGTTAGTGTGTTGTGAATTTGGACAGATCAGAAGAAAATTCTAAAATAAATAAATACATATGCATACATATATATTTCTAAGAAGACTGCTGCTCTTTTATGTAAAGTTTCCTTAAGGTGACTATCGTGTTATTCCACATAATATATTCCAGGCTGTCTTTCATTTATAATCCAGTAGGTGTTTTCTTTAATCTTTGAGGACTTAGTCATAGTTGTCAAAATAATGAGCTTTCCACGGTGTAACTTCATTTGACTGGCGTCCCTCCCCCCACAGCCAAGTTTCCAGCAGCGATTCCCAGTAGAAACAGTTTTTTCTTCCCAAGGTCCAGGCCAAAGCAGGGGTTTTGCTCCCCAAGGCCCTGGCCACGTTCGAGGTTCCCAGGGAGTTCTGCAGTGCCTGTTTCGGCGGCTCTCCTGGCGGGTGCAGGCCGAGCAGGAGGCGCCCTGAGCTCCTCGACGTGGGTGTTGGGAGCCTTGGTGTCCCTGCCGGGCCCTTCCGTGTCGTGTGTGGCGCTGGGCAGGCGGCGACGTGTCGCCCACGGGCCGCGCAGGCCACGGCAGCGGCGAGGCCTGGCCTAGCCCACGCCCAGCTCAGCGCCCACAGGCCGGCCCGGCCCCACACAGGCCATGGTGGCAGCAAGGCCCGGCCCAGCCCCCACAGGCCAGCCTGGCCCCACGGAGGCACCTGGACTGCACAGGCCATGGTGGGAGGGAGGCCTGGCGTGGTCTGCACCAGTCCCAGCGCCCACAGGCCGGCCCGGCCCCACAGAGGCGCCCTGGGCCGCGCAGGCCCTGGTGGCAATGAGGCCTGGCCCGCGCCGGGCCCAGCGCCCACGGGCCAGCCCCACGCAGGCGCCCTCCACTCGTGGGGCCTTGGCGAGGGGAGGCCCCAAAGGCAGCTGAAGTGCGCTCAGGAGGCAGATTTTTGATTGCAGCTGCGACTCCTCTTGGCTTTGTCTTCAAAGTCAGAGCTCAGAGGGTGGTGATAAATGGGGCCGAGTCCAGTTGGAGGCCTGTGGCCAGTGGTGTCCCCCAGGGGTCAGTGCTGGGCCCAGTGCTGTTCAACTTGTTTATCAATGACCTGGACGAGGGCACGGAATGCACCCTGAGCAAGTTTGCAGATGACACCGAGCTGGGTGGAGTGGCCGACACTCCGGAGGGCTGTGCTGCCATCCAGAGGGACCTGGACAGGCTGGAGAGTTGGGCAGAGAGGAACCTCCTGAGGTTCAATAAGGACAAGGGCAGGGTCCTGCACCTGGGGAGGAATAACCCCAGGCACCAGGACAGATTAGGGGTTGACCTGCTGGAAAGCACCTCCACGGAGAGGGACCTGGGAGTCCTGGTTGACACTAAGTTAACCATGAGTGAGCAGTGTGCCCTCGTGGCCAAGAAGGCCAATGGGATCCTGGCTGCATCAGGAGGAGTGTTGCCAGCAGGTCAAGGGAGGCGATTCTGCCCCTCTGCTCAGCTCTGGTGAGGCCGCACCTGGAGTACTGTGTTCAGTTCCGGGCACCCCAGTATAGGAGGGACATGGAGCTTCTGGAGAGGGTCCAGAGAAGGGCAACCAGGATGATTAAGGGAATGGAACATCTCTCGTATGAAGAGAGGCTGAGTGAGCTGGGCCTGTTTTCTCTGGAGAAGAGACAGCTCAGAGGGGTTATGATTAATATGTATAAGTTCAGGAAGGGATAATGCAGAGAGGAAGGGGACAGGCTGTTTTCACTGGCGGCCAGCGACAGGACAAGGGGTAATGGCCACAAGCTGGAGCATAAGAAGTTCCATCTCCAGGTGAGGAGCAACTTCTTTACTGTTAGGGTGACAGAGCCGTGGAACAGGCTGCCCAGGGAGGTTGTGGAGTCTCCTACTCTGGAGGTCTTCAAAACCCGCCTGGATGCCGCCCTGTGCCACATGCTCTAGGTGTGCCTGCTTGAGCAGGAAGGTTGGACTAGATGATCTGTAGAGGTCCCTTCCAACCTTAAATATTCTGTGAATCTGTAAAGTACAGCTGTGCCTTTCTGCAGTTAAAATTTCAGTGATGGAAGGTTTTCGTGTGCTTGCACATCTGAACAGCAGTCCCTAGCCTGGTATCCTAAGGAAGGCCTAGGCTAAAGAAACCACGGCGACAGGCCGGGTTTAAGAGCTGCTGGAATCTGCTGGTCGGGTAGTTTGCTGCCAGGGTGGCAGTCAGGTTGCTCGAGCAGTTTGACACCTGCCATGGGACTATTCATTTAGTGCAAGTGCTTTCTTACAGTGACAGTGCTTATACAGTCCAGGATGGTAGATCTCAGCTCCCAGCAGAAGTGAAAGACATTTTCTTCTCTTCTTTTCAATGTACCTGTCATTAAACTGAATCTTCAAATGGATATTTACTCTGTATGTAGTGCTCAGTAAAGAAGCCATCTAGGATTGGATGATTGCAGTTAATAATATCATGGTAGCAAGCATTGGCCTGCTGTGTCAAGTAGCTGTACTTAAGACGGATTTTAACTTTCCATTTAAATAGTAAGTAGCTACCACCATAGAGATGCTCCGGCTTAACCTAGTCGATAGAGAGCTTCTTGTTTGCAGAGTGAGTCAGTGTTTGCTTGCCCTGTTTTCTCAAGCAAAATGAAAGGCAGACAATCGTTTCTTCAGCAAAAATAAACTGCTTACGTCCTTGCAGTGCTTGTGAAAAAAATCCCGTGTGTAGTAATATAGACTGGCAGCAGATTTCTATGCGGGTGTCAACTTGAGAAAGTATTGTGGAAAAGTAGACATTGTAGAGATTTCTCTCTCTTGAAATCCCCAAAATCTTGTGGATGGACAGAAGAATTGGGTGAGCTTTAGAAAGTATTTCATGCTAAATATAAGCTGATATGGTTATATCCTAAGTCTGCATTATTAGAAGTCTATCACCTAAAATGGTGTTAGAGTAAATGCTTCATCTGCCCTGTGGTATTTGCTTCGGTGTGGCCCACCATGTGTTTTGATTATTATAAAGATAAATATGTAAATAAGCTAGGTTTTATCATAAGTATCCAGACATTCTTGTTCCAAGCTTATGCAAAGTACAAATATTCAGTCGCTTAGAGAATTTTGGAAGTACTTTATGTAGAGCTAATAAGCTCATGGGATTGACCAGTGCCTAAACTTTCTGAACGCTGCCTATTCAGTACCAGGAGTATAAAATGTCATAACTTCTTGCCAGGAACTACTAGTGCTACTGTAACACAAGCACTAAATAACTCTGCACTGAGTAGTTACTAGCTAGCTTGGGAGGGGGAAGAAATGAAGTTTGAGGGAAGAAGTGCAGTTTCAAGATGGCTGGGGAACATGCTTTTTATCAGGACTACTGTATAGTTTTTCATATTAAGTGCAACATCAAAATCTTGACGCATTTGATACGAATATATGGGCTCCGGTTTCTGTCAGAAGCAATTGCTCTGCTGAGGCACTGGGAAACAAAAGACAAGCTCCATGGGAGGATTTCTTAAAATTTCCATATCAAAACTGCGCTTCAGGTTTGTGTGGTAATGTATGTCAAGCTCTATTTATTATCTTTTTGCAGAAAAGGAGGACTTCTGACGGTTCCCCAATTTCGGAAGTGAGTGGGAGGTTCCAAGAAGTGACAGGTACTGCGCAGTGAGACTTGCTCTTTCCCTGCTATTGCCTTCTTAATAGCTGTGCTGGATGTGCGCTTGTGATAGAGCAAATAAGTGGATTGTACGATAGAGCAAGAAGACTAAGCCCTTAATTCATGGGGAAAAATGTAAATAAGATCCAGATTTAATGGTAAGCTTGACTTTTATTTTGCTTCAGAGTATTTTCAAAACATCTATGAGGTTTTTTTACTTAAATGTACTATATGATTACTCAGTGATACTACTTAATGGTATATCTAAAGTGCAGGATCAGAAAAACTGTTAAATTTCAGAATTTCAAAAACAGAAGGTTTCAACCTAAAGATTTTAGGCAGAATTTACAAGTGAAAATTGAATTTTACTCAGAATTTTTCTTCCTTTCTGTTACTAGCACACATCTTCCAGCAAAGTCACTAGTGAAGGTGAAAGTTGCATCAACTTATGTTTTAAAAGCATCATCTAACTTTCAAACACTTGGCAACTTCAAAATAATGTCTGAAATATAAACAGTCCAGTGGTGTATGTTGATATTAAAAGGTTATTAAGGGCTATTACTCCTCTGGTTAGAGGTTTTAATTTACCTCAGGGGAAAAAAAAAAGTTCTCTTGTACTAAATAGTTTAAAAGAAAAAAAATATTTTGAATAAAAAACATTTTTTTCATGGGAAAGTCTAAAAAGGGCAGTCTTTTAGGTTGTGAAAGGATGAGAATTAAAACAAATGGTATTTCCTTCTTGTCCTTACGAGTCTAAAGCAAACAAGTTATGTAAATAAAGCTGTGTTGTCTAAGGTAAATTTTATGTTTCTTACTATGTAATTTTGATGACTTTAAAATGTAAGCATTTTGATGACTTAAAATGTAAGCTCATTTTTTCTTCAAATTCTGTTTTTGGAAACAAAAGCTTTTGAGCAAATTGGAAAAAGGGTTTGAGAGAAAACACACAGTGGGAATTCTTTATTTGCTCTTTTGTTTTTGTAATGAACAAATTCAAGTCTGTATGGACTGTGAAAGCTTTGAGAGGCCTTTGAGGGAAGTTATTTTGGGAAAGCTTGCAATTTATGCCCTCTGACAGATGAATAGTTCAACCCCCTCACCCTTTCCTGGCAGATAAAGTGATTCACTTGAAAAATTTGCCTGTCTCTACCTGTTGGCCTTCATATCTGTAATCAGGGTAACTTAACATTTCGTAATTAAAATGTTTTATTTAAAAATGCCATGGAAAATTTTCTGGAAAACCTTTCAGCAGTTTTACACTCATGGCTGAAGGGGAGCAGTTAACATTTATGTTGAGGTCCAGTCTCTCCATTTGTTTTACCTCAGCACTTGAGTGGTGCAGAAGTAATTTCATGGAAAACACAGAGAAGTATAAACATGTCAAGATTCTCCTTCTAGTCCAGAAGAAGGTGACGACTTGTGTCCCAGATCCCCTCAGAGCTTTTCCCTGTTGTTCCCACAATTCTCCCTGTTGTTCCTATAGGGCAGATGGAACACTGGCGTGAATGTGTCATCCGTGGAGTATCAGAAGTTTCTCAATACGGGTAGCCATCCTTGCCACTCTACTGTAGCATACTCTCTACTATGCTGTAGAAAGCAACAGGTTATAGAATATCATGAGCATAGCTTTGACCTCAAATGCTGTCTTTCGAAGTTATATGGAAACATCGTCACAGAACCAGTTTGGATTGCAAGAACAGAAAAACCTAAGGGGAAGAATAAAGCGTGTTGTTGATGAAAGGAAGATGACATGGACATCTACATTGCTGAGAGTCAGAAAAACTGGCAGGATTAGGAGCACGTAGGTCTGTTTTGCTTTGTGCGGGGAGAGAGCAGCTATTCTGCTCATACAAGCGATAACTTTTTTAGTCCCAACTCTAAAACTGAGTCCTGTGGCTCTGCCTATAAGTTCTCGTGCAGTGACTTTTTGCTTTTCAATTGCAGGATTATTGCAGATTAGGTAAAGGCTTCTTGGCAAAGATAGATAAACACCCATTTACCAGAATTCAGAAGTTGCACAAGGAAAATAAGTATCTACTTAAAAAAAAAAAAAAAAAAAA